ACATCCTGTGTTCTAAGGGCCCTCCCAGCTCTGACATCCTGTGTTCTGAGGGCCCTCCCAGCTCTGACATCCTGTGTTCTGAGGACCCTCCCAGCTCTGACATCCTGTGTTCTAAGGGCCCTCCCAGCCCTGACATCCTGTGTTCTAAGGGCCCTCCCAGCTCTGACATCCTGTGCTCTGAGGGCCCTCCCAGCTCTGACATCCTGTGTTCTAAGGGCCCTCCCAGATCTGACGTTCTGTTTTGTGAACCTCCAAGTTTCCAAAAATCTGGGCCCTTATTTTCTCAGCCAGTCTTTGGGACTCTGTCCCAGAGTCTGCTCTTAGGGTGCCTGGGGCCCCAACTAGGGACCCTGTTGATGTCTGTCTCCTTACTTCACTCTCCACCCAGGCTGAGTGATGGGATGGGAATGGAAAGGAAGGTGCTTATGTAGGAATAAGTTTGTGTGAGAATAATCAATCTTAATCAATCGACAAAATGGAACCAGTCACTGGCCTCCAGAAGCTTCCATCGTCCCCTCCGTGTGACAGTGCCTAAGGGTAAGTGAAGCGGGGCTAGTGTGTATCACTGAGGCTGTGAGTGGGAATCTGAGGTGTATGGGGGTGAGCATTGGACAGTGTGTATGTCTCTGGGTGAATACAGGGCACATGAGGGAAAGGCACATTCCTGGGAGCATGGGATAGGATGAATCTGGAGCCATTTTTACTAGGGACCCTAAGCCTCAAGGCCAGGGACTGTCACTGAGCAAAGCTGAGGTACCAGCAGTCCCTGACCCCCAGTACTGAAGGAAGAAGGCCCGCAGGGACGCTGAACCAGCTGCTGAGTAGGAGAGAGCAGATGAGGGGGTAAGGATGATGGGGGGCTTCCCAGGAGTACCTCAGGTTGGGGGGCAGGAGCAGGCAGAGTAGCAGACAGCCTCCCTCCCCCACCTCCTCTGCCCTCAGCTGGATATCAATTTCAAAGGGCAATTGGAGGCCTGAGCTGCGTCCACATGGTGCCAAGTCCACTCCTGCCAGATTGCCCATCAGCAGAGTAGGACCTGGCAGGAAGCAGAGCAGGGCAGCGGAGGGAAAGCCCAGCTGCTGCAGAGAAAGGCAGAAACAGAGCCCAGAAGATCACTGGGAGACTGACCTGCCCCAAACAGAGCAGGTCAGTGGTACCAGTCATTGAATTAACATTCATTAATCACCCATTACCTGCCAGGCACTGCGCTGGCTACAAAGAAAAGTCAAAAACAATCTCTTTTCTCAAGGAGGAGATGAGAATGTACAAACAAGCTAGAGACAGGACACAATGGAAATTATTTCAATAGAAGGAAGCACCAGGATTGAGCTACTGAGAAAGGCTTCATACAGAAGGTGGTACCTGCAGGAACGAGGATGCCGAGATGGAGGAGAGAGAGCATTCCAGGCATGAGGGACAGTCAGGGAAGACGCCGGGAGTCGTGAGATAGTGTCTTGTTGGGGGAAGAGTGAAAAGGTCAGCATCGTTGGACTGAAGAGTAGGTGGGAGGGTATAAAGTGAAGGGGACTCAGAGGCATCTAGTCTGCCCCTCTCATTTTGCAGATGAGGAAACGGGGGGCCCACAGAGGCCAAGTAACTTAAGATCAAAGATGTACAGCTGAAAGCAACCTTAAGGACCATCTAGTCTAACCAAATGTTTGTACATAAAAGTTAAGTGACTTGTCTAAGGTCACACCCACACCTGCCCTGATACTAGGAGACTTCAACATACATATTGATACCCCTAACATCCAGTTTCTCAATTTACTCCCTTCCCACCAGCTACCCCACCTCAGTCATACACAAAGATGGTCATCCACCACCCACAAATATACAACCTCCATGTTCAATAATTCTGAAAGCCCCTTAGCCAGAGTGAGTGTTTCCCACCCAGCCCAGCTGGGTAAAATTCAATGTTTAATGCCACCATGGCTCCTTCAAGGTGGCAGAAGTAGATGAGAGAGGGTTCCCTTCAAATTCCTGAGACCCCTTCCACACCTTGCAGCACAGAAATCATAATACCAGCAGCCAACATTGATAGAGCACTTTAAAGTTGGCAGATCATTCACCCCAGGAAGTGGATAAGACAGATAGTTACCCCCAATTAACTGATGAGGAAACTGAGGCTCAGAGTAATGCAACCCTCAAGGTAAATAACTTCTTTCTAGTTACACAGCTACTAAGTGTTGGCTGTTGGCTGTGTAATTCAAACCCAGGTCTTTCTGACCCTTCTGTCCCCATACATCAGAGCTATGGACTGGTAGTAGACAGATCTGAGTTCCAGTCATGCCTGTACCAGCAGCAGAATATATAGTTTAGGGATGGAAAGGATGTTAGAGATTAAGGGGGGGCAGTGAGGTGGCACCATAGTGCACAGAGCTCTGGGCCTGGAGTCAGGAAGACTCAACTTCTTGAGTTCAAATCTGGCCTCAGACACTTACTGGCTATGTGACCCTGAGCAAGCCACTTCATTCTGTTTGCCTCAGTTTCCTCAACTGTAAAATGAGCTGGAGAAGGAAGTGGCAAATCACTCCAATATCTTTGACAAGAAAACCCCAAATGGGGTCATGAAGAGTTGGACAAGACTAAAAATGACTGAACAACAAAAGTCTAGTTAAACAACCCCCTTCAATTTAAAGAGAGGGAAACTGAGACTTAGAAAGGGAGAACTATCAAACTTTCCAAGGTCCCACAGCTGGCAAGTGGGAAGGTAGTGGACCTCAGGTATTCCGATTCCTGGAGATACTCAGGCATTCCTGATATCCCTGAGTAAGCTGAGTCAAGTTCCTTTTCTGGGTCTTCACTGGCACCGAGGGAGGGAGAGTGGACCACTGGTGTCCAATGCTCCTTCCAGCCCCAAAACATGTGAGTGGAGGGCACATCACCATCATTAGCCTTTCCTCTCACAGCCTGAGAATGAGAGAAAGTCCAGGAGCCGGAAGGCTAAATGCCCAGTTGGCACTAGCAAGCAGATGCCCAGACTGTCTGTTCATGTAGATGAGGCAACAAAAGCGGGATGCCCAGACTGGAGCCCAGGACGCGCCACGGTCAGGACTGGCAAAGAAGTATCTCTTGTTCCTTCCCAGAAATTCTTCATCCAGCACTAGCTATCTGTGTGAATGTGGGCAAGTCATGTAATGTCTATGAGCCTCAGTTTCCTTATCTGTAAAATGAGCCACAGCCATCTGTAAAAACTGCCATAATCTACTGAACAGGGTGAGGCTCACACGCCATCATGCATGAAAAGCTATCTGCAAACTTTAAATTGACACTTACATGTATGTTATGATTATTCTCAGAACCATATGGTGTCAGAGGTGCAAGGCAACAATGATTCTCAACTGCTGGGTCAAAGACCCCTGGATCACGAACACTTAAAAAGTCTGAGAACTGCTGCCTTAGAACACAGGATGTCAGAGCTGGAGGGCCCTTAGAACACAGGATGTCAGAGCTGGGAGGGCCCTTAGAACACA